CATGGCACAAGTATACATATGTAACAAACCTGCATGTTATGCACATGTACCCTAGAACTTAAAGTATAATTTTAAAAAAAAGAAAAAAAAAGAAAATGGACTAAAAAAAAAAAAGAGATATTAAGTTTGAGAAATTTATTGAATAGCCAGATGTTGAGTCAGGCTCAGGAGCATGTGTAGTAGATAACAATTTGTAAGTTATCAGAAATTACATGGGACTGAAAGCCATGAAGGCAGGAAATAGTCTTTGCAGACAGACAAGAGGTCTGAGAGATTAGCCCTGAGGCCCACCAATGTTAAATAATCAGAGCCTGAAGAGAAACTGGCAAAGGAGACTGAGAAATGGCTACTCCAGGAGAGAAAAAGAAACCCAGAATTTGGTGCTATGGACATCAAGCAAATACAATGTTTAAAAGACCAAGTAGTGATCATCTTGGGCAAATGCAGCTGAGTAGATTCAAAAGTACGGCTGCAGTCTTGAGAAAGAGAATATGTATTTAGAATGGAGAAAAAAATATCACTAAGGAAAAGCAAGCACTTCAAAACTATTTCCACAAATTCGTCTGCTCAAGCATCTTTATTTTTTCAAGACTGCAACTAAGCATTAAGAAGTCAGGAAATGAATGCCCTTTAGGAGGTAGGAACTGGGAGACTTCAGAACCTGGAGCAGTCCTGAGTAAAGGCTGCAATGCCCCAGACCTACAGACATTTTTCTGCCTATATAGACTCCAGCATCTGCCACAAATATGCCCAACCAAATTCTTGTCCAGGCATTCAAGCACGATTTTCTCTCTTCTTATATTTAATAGAGTTGAAAATACTAGATCAGCATGAAGTATCTTGTGTATGGTAATGATCAATCCTAATGTCAATTGGGCTAAAAATATAAAGCTGAAATCTAGAACAAAATTAGTATGAGTATTAATCAATTCAAGTGTCTAATAAGAATACCAATCAATGAATGTGAATTACCATAAAGAAAGAAAATTTAGACTTCTACACAAAATGTTTCCTTTTAAAGCTGCTTAGAATGAAAGTCCTCCAGAAGGCAACTACACAATTTTCCACTTAACTAGGAGATTATATATTTCTCCTCAGAATTTCAAAAATCATGATGGTGTATTTGGTTATGAATGAATAATTTACCTGGCACTTAAACATGTAACTTAATGCTGAAATATGCTCTGAACTTCTTAGCGAAGTAGGTACAGGATATAAAACATTAAAATTTAAAATATGTCTCAAATTTATCCATAAATGTACATAACTTGAAAATAAATTTTTATGCTGCCTTAATGAACTACTCTATTATGGCATAAAGAAATGACAACATGATTGACTGTAAATCAATTCAAATAATTTATTGCTTTATTGATAAATACAGATAAATGACAAATTAGCATGAAGAATAACTATGATCAAGACACGTAAGAAAACTTCAGTTTTAGATTGGAGAAATAAAAAAAATTAGTAGAAAAGGAAAAATTGCTAAGAGAAGACAGGGAGGAGGACTTTTGGAACTATTTCCTGAGGTAGGTAAAAGGTGATGAGATCTTGTGAAAAAGACTGAATAAACACAACATGCAGAGAGGAGATCATATTGAACAGAGAGCAGGAAGGGAAACGTGGTGGTGGGATCATATGGAAGTGCCCTTTTGATTGCTTCCATTTTCTCAATAAAATCAGAAAGGCCATCAGCTGAGAAAGAGAATGGAGGATGAGGGGATGGGAAATGTAAGGGCAGAGGAAACATCTAAAATAGTCATCAAAAAGAGGGAAAGTAAATAGACGGAGGAAATATAGTATTTATAGTGACAGGAGACAGACAAATTCCTAGGTAGACATGGACAGGTCCCTGGTGAAAGCCAACCTTCAAGCCAAAGACAGCCTAAAGCCTGAAAATTGAACTGCCAGTTCCAGATAGAGTCCACAACTGGAGAAATACTTCTATCCCCAACCCACCCACTGTCTCTTGATTCCTTCTGTATGATGCCTTTTAACTAATTGAATGCTGCTTTTTCCAAGACCACCCATGGACCAATTAGAAAGTACCACCCTCTTCCTGCCGATTTTAAGCCCATAAAAACCCAAGACTCAGCCTCACAGAGAGCTACCCACTTTCAGGGTCCCCTCTGTCCACTGAGAGCTTGAGAGCTTTCCTTCTGTTGCTCAACAAAATTCTTCTCTGCCTTACTCACTCTCCAGTGTCCACCTACCTTATTCCTCTTGGTCACGAGACAAGAACCCAGAACTCACTAAGCTGTGGGTGATGGAAAAAAAAGACCTGTAACCCTCCCATTCACCAAGCCATAGGTGGTAGGAACAAAAGAGCTGTAACCCTTCATTCCACTTGCTGAACAACGGGAGCAAAAAAAGTCATTGCACACCATTCCTTCCTGCTTGCCAAGCAATGGGAGCAAAAAAGACACTGGGTTCCACTCCCTCCCACTCACTGAACTACAGGAATGAAGAAGCTGAAACAGTATGAGATTGGTGAGTATGCATCTAAAGTGAGACTGGTTAGTATATTTGTATGTTTTTCTACAGCAAAGTGTTCAAAAAAAGCTTCGAAGTTAGTTGATATTGTATTAGAGTATTGTCTGTTGATAGAGGATGAAGTAAAAACAGGGCAATGAAGTTGAGAATATATTCATAAGAGAGTATTATATATATATATTACTATTCAAAAATTTATTTTCATTATTATTATACTTTAAGTTCTGGGATACATGTACAGAACGTGCAGGTTTATAACACAGGTATACATGTGCCATGGTAGTTTGCTGCACCCATCAGCTGCAGATGCTGTCATCTGCATTAGGTATTTCTCCTAATGCTATCCCTCACCTTGCCTGTCACCCCCTGACAGGCCCCAATGTGTGATGTTCCCCTCCCTGTGCCCATATGTACTTATTGTTCAACTCCCACTTATGAGTGAGAACATGTGGTGTTTGGTTTTCTGTTCTTGTGTTAGTTTGCTAAGAATGATGGTTTCCAGCTTCATCCATGTCCCTCCAAAGGACATGAACTCATTCTTTATTATGGCTGCATAATATTCCATGGTGTATATGTGCCACATCTTC